CACGTCCAGCCCCCTCCAGCCGTCCCGCCGCGGGGGTGTCCCGCCGCTCCCCCCTTGTTCTGATTTCTCCCTGCTTGGAGAGGGATGCAGAAGAGGATCCTCCGCATGCCGGGCGGGGAAGAGGATTTATCGTGAATACAGTGTTATTACTGACTGAAAACCAGACAAAACTTGAGCTACCCCACCCCCCATCCCTGCCCCCTGGGAGCGCGTTCCTTTTGCTGAGTATTGGAGATGTTTTGTTCTTCCTATATATCGGGAAATCTGTTTATGTCATGAACGTTAAAACTGCTGGAAATCTCAATACTGTCTTTATTTTTGTATATCGTATTTATAAAAAAAAAAAAAAATTACCTCTACTTATGCATGCTAAATTATTCCCCAGGTCCTCCCACCCGTGCGATGGGGAGGGAAAATAAACGGCGTTTTTTACTGGAGGTGTATGAGCGCTGTGTGAGGGGGAGGATGCTCGCTGCGCTCGGGAGGGAGGGGGCACCGCTTCCTAACCCGAATTTAGCCCAGTGCCACAACTGCCGTGTAATATCCGATATTGAGAGGAGCGTCTCAGTGCAGGGGCGAAGCTGCCCCAACAACAGAGCTGCGGTGCCAGGCGGCTTTCGGGGAGAGGCGGCGGCGATCCCCGCTGTGAGATGGTTTTAGGAGCTCAGGGCCTGGCCGGGGCCATTCCCTCCCGAGGGAAAGGAGGGGGTAGCGCCGCTTTCCAGGGGTGGCTCGACTTCCAAAGGAGCGAGGCGCTCCCCTGCCCTCCTCCCTCCCCACCCCGCCGGTGGAGCGCGGCGTTTTCGATAACTGCGCGATTTATCTCGCCAATAAATTTGCAGATCAATTAATCGCTGTCACGGCAGCTCTTCCCCAAATCAATTATAGCGAATTTAAATATAATCACTGGCTCATCCCCACCAGCTCGGGGCCACGTCTGGTAATTCATCCCTGCTCGTGAATGGCGCTCCCGCATCCCAGCGCTCCCCCTCCTAGCTCCGGAGGATGAGAATGAGGAGCTCTGAAATACAGAGCTTTCCCACGCCCTTGCACTTTAAAAATAAAATCATAATAATTTTAATAAAGGTGTTTTCTACAAAGTCGCGTTAACCTGTTCTGTGAGGTCACAGAGTGGCCCCTCTTAACTGCTTCTGTAAAAATCCGCCCCGTGAAACACAGGCTGGAGGATGCATGAGATTATGGGATGAGATTCATGAAGGAAAAGTGTTATCCTTCACGGAGAGCTCAGGTGGGTCGGCTGGAGGTGGCATCCAGGCATAACGCGGATAGTTACCAGCTCACCAGTGCCACGGGGCAACACGCCAAAAATCACGATTAATCATAAATCTGAACAGATCCCGTATGGCAAAACACTTGATTGGGATAATCTCCATTTGGGCTCGACCGATACCTACCCCCTTGCACGGAAACGATCGCGTCGGGCACTCTGGTTTAAATCTGTAAACGATTTTCTTTCGGCCACAGGCTGTAGAGACTTCAAGGCGATAGGAAAATAAAGGCATTGGTATCGCTGTGGCTTTTCACACATCTGGCTAAGGCTGCATCTTGGTGGGTGAACGGCCGGGCAGGAGCGGGCAAGACCCGCGTAGGGCCACGGTGGCTCCTCCGCCCTAATCCCGGCGGCACGACCGAGTTACTGGCAGCAGGATTTACCTCTTGCTTCTACCCTAAAACACCTGAACTGTACCAGTCCGGACAACACCTTATCTCAAAAAAATGATCAATGAATTAAATATAATGCATAGTGTATATAACAACACCAACAAAAACAACAGTAGTAATAATAATAATAATAATAATAATAATAATAATATTAATAATATAATTAATAATAATAATAATAATACCTGAGATCACCCCTCACCCCCAACAATAAAGATCCTCCCTCAGTCATCAATTTTCACTTAAACACCCACTAATTAAGCTGGCAGACGTGATCCACCGGGCCAGAAATATCCTGTATGCCCAAGAGGTGTGTGTCCAAACTCGTCTCAGCCCCACGAAAACCAGCCTTGCGGGTACAGGCAGCTATTCACGGACTCGGTATCAAAGTCCTACCGGTGTATTGTGTCTGTCTCAATAAAATTAATCTCTTTAAAGCCCAGCGTCTCACAAGAATACCTTCAGTGTTCCAGACTACAAGGGCAAATATGTTTTTCAGATTCTGTTTTTATGGACGGATTAAAGTTTATTTTCCATAATAGGACACCTAATAAAACTCATAAAGCTCTGTCAGTCTTACAGCTGGTGGCCTCATTTAACACTTTCACTTCGTAAATCATTTTACAACTTACCAGGTGTTTCCAAAACTGAAAGGAGAGGAGGGGGAAAGAGAGCAAGAGGGGGGAAGAGAAATTAAAGTCACTTAAAATATAGATACGGTCCTTTGGCGCTGGGTGCGTTTGCGCTGTCGCTTGGAAAAGCTTCAAAGAAGGCGTCGGTCCCAACGGGGGAGAAAAGCCTTTTAATCAGGATTTCCCACGCTCTTTTGAAGTGCGGAGGCTCGTCCCCACGTGCAGGGCAGTCAAAGGCTGGGGTGATGAGCGGAGCCGGTAACGCGTGCCGCTCCCCGCGCTCCCGGAGCGCCCCGCCCGGGGAAGCCTCTGCCGGGGGCACCCGGCCCGGAGCTACCGAAGGGGCCCCGTTATCATCCACAAGCCAGCCCGGCCAGGGACCGCGCTCTCTGGCTGAGCCCCGCATCCAGCCTCATCCCCCGGAACCCCTCACCCTGCCCCAGGAGCTTTGTTCCCCCAGCCACCTCCCCCCACACCAACCTTCCTGCCAGTGTGGGGCCTCCCTGCACCCGTTTCCAACACCCAGCCCCGGGGTGCCCCGCTGGTTTTGGTGGGGTTGAGCTGCCTCAAGACCCAGCACAGGCAGCGCTTTAATCTAAACCCCTGTTTGTAATTTCATTATTCGGTCTGTTCCCTCCCCAGACGCAGTAGGTAACAAACCTCTTAAAATTTTCATTGCTGTACTTGAGAAGTGGTAAGTATGAACACGGACCTTTGGTAGACATTTTACTTTAAAAAGCAACATGGTTTAGGCATGAATGTCATTAACTGGCAATTTCACAAGCATTAAGTGCTAAAACAAAAGAACCAAAACAGGATCCATATGTTTGAGGTAAACCTGCTAAAAGTCTTTCAAATGGGAAACCATAAATATATAATCTCCCTCAAACTCTCCGTGCAACTGCTGCGAATGAAATACTCCACTAGCAGAAAGACTGTTGATTATTTCAGGAGTGCAAACTCTTACACACATCCAAAACTAAGCAATTAATGTTCTGTTTCTCAGTGATTTCTCTAGCTCTCAGTAGGACCCGTCACACGGTTCTTCCTCCTCCTCCCACACTCCTTCCCTTCCCAGTGGGGCTGGACACGCGTGGGAGGGCTGACACTGTGTCTGCTGCTCCTGTGTGGGTGCCAGCAGCCAGCTCGCCCCCGTGGATGCTTCCAGCCTGGTTCCTGTCACAGCTCTGGTTCCTCTGCCAGGGAGCTACACTAAGGCTTCCCAGCTGACGGCAGAGATGCCCCAGGACAGTGAATCTTAGTGTAGATGCCCTTCTTCCCTTCCCAAAAGTCTCCTTGAGCGCTCTGGGTGCTGAGATAACCACACCACGCTTCATCTGTGAAAGCAGGAACAGAATTTATTAATTCCTGAGCCATGCATTGCTCCTGTCGTGTGCAGGGAGCTTCTTGGTCGGCTGTTTGAACCTCAGGAACAACACACAGGACAAATAATGGAAGGGATGAAGCCCACAAGGTCCTTAGTCTCCCTTGGGTGTTGTGTAGTGACCAAATTACAATCTTTCTGCCCCTCAAAAATGGTCAGGTCTGGTCTGGCCAGAGTTAAATACCAGCTGCACATTACTCCGAGAACCACGCAGCAACTGTGACACAGATTTTTTATTTTTCACCAATACTCATGCAACCAGGATCAGCAACCGTGGATTGAGGTTGTTCCACATTAAGAAGAGATGGTTTTGTCTTTTCTTGGACCTTTTGCTTCATTTTTCTTGCCTTGAGGGTAGTGTAAATGTCTCTTCCAAACAGTTCTCAACAAGGGCAGTGGATCAGGAGATATTTACTGTCTTCTCCTTACTCAGAGAAGAACTTAAATTTAACCAAGTCCTAGGTGGAAATGGAAGTGCCTGCATGGAAATGGGATCACCTGCAACAATAGGAAATGTAGGAAATCAGAGTGTTTTTTCTCTGACTGATTGAAAGCTAATATAAAATCTGTTTTCCACTTCCTTTTGGAAAAAAACCACATTTTGCTGAGTAAGTCTAACTGGGACTGGTCTCTAAAATGAGTAAAGAACATGCTGTTTTCCTCTAGTAAAACTCAGCAGAGGCAGTGGCTTGCAATGAGTTTTGTAGCTGCAAGGCTTAGCTCCATTTTACTACCTGCAGGATATTTGCAAGCAGATCACAATTTCCTCTAATTAATCTGCAGTTTTAAATTATTATTCATAGGATTTCTGTTAATATTCTTGGCCAATGGTACCTTTTGGCAGGTGGGACTCTTGTCTGAAGAGGGAGTATGGATGCACAATGCAGAAGTTCCTGATTCAGCTGCCTCCTCTCTTCCCGCACAGAGGAGATGGGGACGGAGAATTCCTGTCCCCATCCAGCCCTGCTTGGCTGTGGGTACAATTTCCATAAATAATAATAAAAAAAAAGAGCAGCCAGGGAGGATTTTGATGTAAGGCAGGGGCAGGGGAGTGATCTCAATTTAGAACACATCAAAGGATGGGGCAGATTGTCCATTGCTTGGTATCCCTGGATGGCCTTTCTGGAAAGGACGTGGAAGCCAAGCAGAAGCTGCCGAGCCACCTCCGGTGCTGATTTCTGCAGTGTAATAGTGGCTGGCAGTGTGCTGGGGCCTGCCTAGACCATCTAATGATTCTTTCTGGACTTGAAAATGATAAATCTATAAAGCATGTATTGCTGTAGCTGCTAGGTGCAATTTTAGAAATGTTAATGAGTAATTACATAAAGGTTGTCCACAGTCATCGATGTTAATCACTGTTCTTTTGCCAGGGATAATTAAGATGACACTTCAGCAGCATCAGCCAGTGGTTCCCGCTGCCTGTGCTGTCTCCTTCTCCCCTCCCAGCTTCTGCTGCAGCTCTCACCCTCCTTCAGGGATCTCTTCACTCCCTCCATTCCTCCCATGCTCTTGCCCCGCCCCAGCTTTTCTGAAGAGCCTAGTTCACCACAGCCTGAGGATTTTTAACTTGTTTAACAGCACTTCACATGGTATTGTGAGGGTGAGCTGGGGGTGCTGGGAGAAGCAGATTTGGGTGATGTGAGGCAGTGATCTGCTGCCCCTCCATTCCTGTTCAGAGCATCAAGGCACTCAGCTCTATTCTGCAGGTAACTTGCTCAGACAACGTGTGCAAGCTACTTCTCATTTCTTGAGCTTCCACCTCATAAAATGGCTGGTCTTCACACTTTCTTTTGCCTTTTTGTGTGTCTTGGAAACCTCAATCAATGACTGTGGAGGAGATGAAATGACAGATAATTGTGTGGTTTGTTTAATAAAACCTGTGAATTTAATCCACATTTTCACTCTTCAGCCTGTGATCAGATTCCACTCAGTGTAACTCAGGTTTTGGGTGGTGAAAAGCCCATGGTGGAAGTTTTAGCAGAGGTGAGATGCCCTGTCTGTGCCTCTGAAGTGCTCCTGCAGTGACCCAAAACCTCCTGGGTTCCTCTAGCTTTGGGTGGGAGGAAGAAATCTCTATCATCAGCAATATGATGGCAAGATACCTGAACCCCACACTCCTTTTATTCCTCCAGATCTTCATCTCTAGGACTGATAATTGCATCTACAGGTTAGATTTGAGGGTCGATTTTGGTAGCAAATGAAAATGGGATAATGTTGAAAAGTCATAAATGTGCTCTTCTGCAAAACCTGTTACTCCTGTGCCTCTGACAGCTCCACATCAGCCTTGGGGAGCCCTGGATCCTCCCTGGAGGAGGCCATTTCAGGGAAAGTGTTGGCTTCCCTGAGTGTGTCAAAAACCTGGCCAGAACAAAGGTTTGCTTCTCCAGTTCTTAGCAGTCTGAAGGCTCCTTAAACTGACAAACCTGGTGTGAGGATTCCCAAGAACCGGGAACCCCAGAAGCATGGATGGGTCCAGGTCTCTGCAGATCTGATTCTCACACAGGTTTCAGACTAGACATAAGAGATTTGAGCTGATTCAAAACTCACAACAGCTTTTGAGCCAATCTATTGCCTTCTGCTCAAGCTCTGAAGTGCTGGTGAAGAGCTCCTGAGAGCCTCCCTCCACAGCTTTTATCATCACAGGAACAGTTCAGGATTCTCAGGTGCTGTCCCTGCCTTTCTGCACTGCTTCCCCATCCCTGACACACAGTACCTGCATAATCCCTGGCATAATAAATATTCTCAAGGGACCAACACACAGTTTCAAACCATTTAGGTAGGGAAATCTGCAAAGTAAATACCATCTAGCCAGTATTTTAAAGGTGATTTGAACTACACAGTAAGGAAAAAAAATACATTCATAATATAAGGCTTTGGCTGAGGAGGAAAGATAATTTTTGAAGATGCAAGCTTAGAAAATGCAATCAAGGTGACTTATTTTTCCTCAAAGTGATACCAAGCATATCTTGGCTTATTATCTCTTTGTTACAAAACATACTGTTCTGTCCCTGGCTGTGACCAATGTCTGCTCCCCAGTGAACTTCAGTGCCTCCAACAGTATTCCCTGCTATTCCACACCAGAGCCATGAGGGCCTGTGCACCCAGGAGAGATTTGAGGGTACTCTTATCATCTGAACCATAAAAGGTCAATAATGGAGTTTTTAATGAAAAATGTGTAACACTTGGAAATCTGTCACTTATGAAAATGAAACATTTCACTGTAACTGATAAAAGACTATTAAGTAACAATTCAAAAATGGTCTCTGTTTTAATTTTGCTCTGTACCTCTCATTTTAGTCACACAACTCAGTAATTTTTAATTCACTTTGAAATGAATTCCACTCAGTTCACACAATGTTTTGGTGTGTTAACAGTTCTGTCCTAGGACACAAGTTTTAAGGAATTTTTGGTGCCAGCTGGCTCTTCCTAAGCTTATCCTTGATAGATGCTCATTAATTTCCTTAAAGTGTTATTAGGGAAACCACGTGGTATTCAGTTTGGAATCGTGCATGCATCCAAATTTGGGGAAGGCTACTGTAATTAGCTTTAAAGCAAGGCTGCAGGTCACACCAGAATTTGGGGATAGCACAGCTGTTTTGTACAGGCAGCTGTGATGTCCATGCCTGCAAACCTCATGCTAAACTATGCTTTACTGGAGAGTGAAGGAAAGTTCCTCCAGGAGATGAAATTACCAAAAGTGTCATGTAGTAAAAGAGCCGTATCTCTACCAAGAAATCAGTCCAACCCAAAAAGTCTTGGGTAAAACATACAGTCAGCCTTTTAAAAGTGACCCTATGGAGCAAATTGTCTCTGAAAACAAAATTGCTTTATCAACTGCAGGAAAAAATTGCATATTGACTCACACACACGGGATGTAGCTGGGCACAAAGCTGCAATTATGATCAGCGCAACAAAAATTAGAGTATTAGAGTTGCCACTCACGTATTTATTAAGCTGAAATCACCGTCGTGCACCGGCTGCTGCTGGGCTGTAACTTTTCATGTGCAAAGTTCACCCGCAGAACAATGGGAAATAAACGATCCCAGATGTGCTCTGAGCACAGTATTGGGTTGCACACCTTTGCTAGCACCAGGCAGGGCAGCCCCGCTGCGACTGCGCCTTCGCAGCACGACTGACATCAGCCCCTCATCCCCGGCGTGCAGGACAATGGAAAAATGTCAAGTGAAAAAAAGCCCTGCAGATACTTGGCTCGTTCAGGTGTCGTGTTAAAACCCTGCCAAAAGGACTTGTGTATGATTTATCAGTGTAACACTCTGGCCAAAGCTAAAAACCAGACTTCACTGCCCTGTTAATTTTGATACAGAAAACAGAGAAAGTTTAAAACATTGCTGTCCAGCTTAAAAGAAAAACAAAAATTGAAGCTGCCATAATAGCTATGAGTGGATCGTGCTGTTTAAAAGGGGAACTGAAATTTTCTGCTACACAGCTAAAAAATCAAACATCCGGCTTTTTGTTAAATGCATCTAAAGCAAATCACACGGTGTTTCCCAATTGGTCTGGTGGGAGTAAGGATTAGTGTTACAACCGTTGCTGCTTGGCTTTCCAGCATATTGTATTTTTACCAGTCCAAAACCCTTTTCTTCTTGTTAAATAGCGACTCTCCCAAACCTGCTGGATGGAAGAGTTTGGGACATTTTAAGTGGCATCTCCGTTACTGGAAGATCAGGGACCATTTCTCACAGGGGCTTGACATGGGCTGCCAGACTAATACTCAACAGGAAGAAATCTCCAGGGGCTGTATTTTGTGTATGTTATTGAACACTTATTCCGTGGCAGACAAAGCAAAATGTGTCCCAGCCAGGTGTAACTTCCTCAGCAGCCTCTGCTGGCAGGCAGTGCTTAGTGTGCAGTCCTGCAGGAAGGCAACTGCCAGCATTTGGTCTTGCTGCTCTTAGAGACCTTACAGCCCTGCTAGAAAGAGGAGAGGCTCTGGAAGGGCCAGCTTTGCTGGGACTAGTGTTTTTCCTCCAGGGTTAGAAGTATGATACATGAAAAAATTTATATATTGTACATTATGTTTATAGACACTGGAATCATACATGTAGAATACCTATAAAATACATTATGCATATATATTTTAATATAAACACACATATGAATAAGTACAAAATCTTCTCTGCTTTCCTTTTCACACATGCTTTAGATCCTTGGAATGTAATGACCACTGAAGGAACAGCTTGCAGATGCTTATGTACATCAACAGCAGAGTCTGCCAGACCTTCCACCCTTCTTGAGCTGTGGCAGTCTGGCCAGTAGGACCATGGAAAAAGTTGTTAAATATGACAAGATCCAAGATTCAGGAATTCACATTTATCTTGGAATTGTCAAATTTCTGTTGGACAGTTATTCCCTCACTGAATCACAGTGAGAGGATGGGACTTGTGCAGAATCACACACAAAACCCATTGTTGACATGACTATAGCACTCTGGGCTGGCAGTGTATTTTTGCTGCTTTCCTTGAAAAGTGTTTTTTCTTTGCGAAATGATGTTTATACATAAGCCTGCTGAATGTAAAATCACAGGCAAGTAAAATCTGTTTTCTTCAGAAATGAAGAAAATGGCTGTGACAAGACTAATTCTGAACAAAACATATGAGCTCTCTGGGAGAAATAATTATTAATGCAAGTCTCAGTGTGTGTGTGTGTGTGGGGACACAATAGTAATTCCTGACTGTAAGGTTAAAACCATCTCCTCTAATTGCACAGCAACACCTGCATTGCACCACCTCAGGCAGCTGCAGCAAGTGAATGCTCACACCCATAAAACACTTGGCAATGCTGCCACGGCAGCAAAGCCCTCACAGCAGGCAGGGACAGGCAGCCTGGCACCTTTGGGCTAAGGAAGATGATTCAAAATTTATCTACAGCAGCCAAGTTGCCTCAACCTCCCTGCTAGAGCAATGTGTTTCCATTTGTGTGTTATTAAACCACCATGCTGACACGCTGGGTCTACCTAAACTCCTGCAAAAAGGGCAATAAGTGGCTGCTGCAGTGTAGGTGGAACAATTTTTACTCACAGTCTCATGTGCTCCTAGCAGCTGTTTCTAGGGTCTTGCACAGATTTTCTCCTGAGTCCATACTCCAAACTTTAAGTAGAAGGTTTGGCATGGTTGGTTGTAAAGGGAGATGTTTACACACACCCCCTAAAGTTGTGACTTTTGTAAACAGCAAAACAGCATCAATTCTGCTGCTGCCCATACTTTGCTAAATTGGCATGAATTCCAGAAAATATTGTAATTAATTTTATCACAATTAATTTTTAAGGTTTGTACATTTAAAAGCTGCCAGTGTTTGACAGTGGTATGAAACAGACTGAAAAAAAGCATCTTGCTTTGTTCTTTGGATAATATCTTCTGTTGTTTGGTAGTGTAACCCAGGATTTTGAAAGCAGGTCTCTCTGCTCCCAGGTCACCTTTTTCTCTAAAGTTTGCCCTGTCCTCTCAGAGGAAAGGTGAGAATAAACAACTCCAGGGCTGCTGGGGAAAGTACTTCTCCACCTGGAAACAGTACACCTGAGCAAGCAGAATATATTACATTTAAGAATTTGATTAAAAAATAAATTTTCCCAACAGGGACAGATCAATTGGTATCAAAGGCAATTGGGAGGGACCATAAGTAAATGACCCATTGGACATCAGAGGCAAGTCTGGCTACAGAAACAGGGCTGACAGCTCCAACAGTGGTAGATCACAGATGCACATTCTAGAAAAGAAAGCACTTCCCTTCTCTACCTAACTTAACGTCATTCCCTTCCTGGAAGGCCAGCCAGAGTAAAGCTAACACAAACACCAAAGCATTTAGAAAAATGGCAGTTTAATGTGTAGTGGTCAGGTGACAAAAGAAACAAACCATTAACAGAGTGCTACAGAAAGAAATGTACCTAACTTTTTTTTTTTTAAGCATCCGAATGCAAAATGTGAGCAAACTCTCAAGGGAGGTATTCTCTTGTTAGGACTCATATTGATGATATTGTTTATGTCTAGAAAAATCTGATTGACACAAATGACTTCCAATTCTAAAGCTGTGAAGAACAGGCTAAAAAAGCCATAAAACTATGCTGTGATCTCTAAACCCAATATAATTGGGCAAAGACAGATCTTCAAGTTGCTTTGCTACAGCTTTGAATCCAACTGAAGATCTTTTCCTGACCACAGTCAGGGAATCAATTCACAGAATTAGCAAATAACTTCCAACACTTTAAGAAGAAAGTTGATTTCTTCCCCAGCCAACTCACCAGTGCTTGTGCCATCTAGTGGCCCCTTTCTTCAGGTGAGTACCACGGTTCCTTACTAAAAGCCTTTAGTTAAGGCTGATTCTTTCATTACTTTAAATGAAAGACTAGAATGTAATGCAGAACACCATTGCTGACAAAGTACCACAGAAGAGTAATTCACCCTCTTCTCCAGATACCAACTGTCAATGTGAAACACTTGTACCAAAAAGGGACATGACAAAACTACATTTTCCCATTCTTCAAAAAGGCCTTGTATCACCTCCAATTAAACCTCTAACTTGCATACAGAGCAAAGTAACTGTTTACATTAAAAAACGGATCCTTTGGAGTAACACTGCTCTCCTCGTTCTCAATTATTTAGGTCCGAAAGACCACAGCTTAATTTTTCTGTGTGTTTTATTAGAAAAAACGTAACTACAGCTTCAGTTTGGGTTCTTTTGACTCTAAAGCCTTGGTTGCTAGTTCCACTCTCTCTTTTAACAAGCTAGCTTCTTCAGCACTCTTTTGGGCTTGCGCATGTTTCAGTAAGAAGTGGGTAAGAAAGAGTTTCAAGCCTTCCCGCAGCACTCCCAGTTTGGGGTTGTCAGATATCCTGTAAAGATACAGATCAAAAATATTACTCAGTCTTCCTCCATTTCAGAAGTTTCTTAATTTTATCATCTTCTTCAAATAGAGTTGTAGAAAAAAATTCAACCTATAACAGAAGTTTTATTGAAGAAGCTTTCAAATTACCAACTCTACCTTGGTTTGGCAAACAGCCCAAACACTCGACATACAACTGGCCTCAACAATAAAATGGGATATTGCAGCCTCAGGCTTGCTTTATGTAAACAATTACATTACAGCAAAGAACAAAGCAAACACCATGTTCAAGCTTCCTCATGCTGCTGCGTGATAGCTGAAACATCACCACCTGATTTTTTCTATGCCATTTCATTGCAAGTCCTATTCATTCAAGTTGTAGGCCTCTCTAAGGATGGAAATTTCCCAGCCTCTCCAGGCAACCCTGTCCCATATCAAAAATAAGATTTTTTCAGAAAACATTGATAAAAACCCCATTAAAAATACCCCAAACCTTTGCCTCATTTTCTTTTTTTCTTCTTAAGATACAACCTAGCAATGACTGCTGGCAGAGTGAACCCCACTGCACACAGATAGCACAAATAAAGGCAACAGGGAATTATAGAGCTCTGCTCATGAAAATCCTACCCCCAAAATGCTACACTGATTATCTGGAAGCCTTATTTTGTGTAACACAGTTGTATCTCTGTCATAGCCTGTACCAATACACATATGATACACTTGAACTACTCAGCCAGGAGAGCTCACATTTTAAGGGATGGAGGGCTGATGTGTGGAAAAGGCACAGTGTGATTCCAAACAAAATAGGCAAATTTCTTATCTTCTTAATTACTACTCAGCAAGGGTTCTCTGGAGATGCCAGTGATCACTCACCTCATAAAAATGTCAGTAATTTCTTCCTCATCTGCTTTGGTTAACAGTGTGCTTAATACCTGTCGTAAGAAACGGACTTTGGGTTTGTCCAGTTCACTGAACTCAATTACCTGGCAGACAGAGAGGGAGAATTAAATTAATTCAAGTATTTCAAACAGATGGTCTGCTCTCCTAAACGAAGAACTTTTAGCACACCAACTGCCTCTGCATATAGTGAGCCTTGAGTTTAGCACAGAATAATTACCTGAGAAGCCTGCCTCCAAAAGCCAATCAATAATGAAAGCAAAGAACCTTCTAAGAAATAGAAGCCTACTGGTACCAGAATACCAGATGTCCTTTCTCAATTAGATAAATACTTCGTAAGTACCTGGGACAATCCATTTAATTGCCTATTTAATACATTTCAATTACTCTTCTAATAGAAATCTATGGACTCCTCATTCTGAAATCCAAGAAATCTACTCAGCACTTTCTTGTCTAATAAAAACAACAGCAGCTAAAAACCATAGCACAGAGTCCACTGGCAAAGCCTGCTAATGAAGGGGCCAACTGTGTTCCAAGTGTGGATACACTAAAGGAAATAACCTCACAGCTACTCTAGATAAAAAAAGTAGACTTTCTTTATGCCTGGGTCACTACAGGTTCCCTTTCCCCAAATGTCAGCATTATCATAATCAATTGGAACAATTTGGTAATGTTAAAACAAGTCTGTCTCAGCATGGCAGCTAAAGTACCAGATAGGTAACAAAGAAAATATGCCTTCCATAGAACTAGCAACTGCAGGGAAAACACAGAAGGATTTGAAAAGAAAACACACCAACCTTGAGAACTGAAAGTGGCAGTGATTTTGTCCTTATTAAGTGAGCCAGCAGTGAAACCAAGTTGAAGATGGCAGCAGCTGACAGGTTTTCCAAGCCTTTGATTTTGTCCCAAATACTAAACTGAAATGTCACCTAGGGGTCAAAGGCAAAAAAAATAATCCTACAAATCAAGTGGTTGTTTAAATGAGCAACAACATAACAAACCTTTTGACCTTCTATTCTTTATAAGCTCTCCTTTAATTAACAGAAATGCTTGATCAGACCGTTCCAATTATTTTAAAATGCATAAAACAGAAGGAAGAAAACATTCAGCATTTCATTTCCTATTCAGATCTGACCACGAGTATGCCTTACTTAATGCTTAGCCATACCAGCAGAATTTTTCATTGGGATCAAGATCCTAAGAGGCAAGCATCCATTCTCAGGTATTCAGTAACTGTCTTCCTAACCACAATCGTGACACAAAGCCAATGAAGCAACAGATTTGTCTTTACCTGAAATCGTCTTTCATACCCACAAAACTTGTTAGCCAAAAATGCATAGAAGGGGTTGAATGTCTTCTCCTGTAAGCAGCAGTAAAGGATGACATGAACTATTTCTCTCTCCTGCTGATCTTTCAGTCCAAGCCTAAAATTTAGCAAGAAATGGAGAAATATTTTGTAAGGAAAAACTTGCTGACACAAAGTAAGAGCTACAGTCAACATCTAAGAGTAATACTTTAAAAGTTATCCTAACATCACATTAAATTCTACTTCTTACAAAGTACCTACAAAGTCTTTAAAACTCATAATGGACTCCGACCTTTAACAGTGTTGGCTAAACAAGTATCCTGGTATGGCACTGTGGAAATGCTGAAGCATTATGGGTGTTAAAGGAGGAGATACAAAAGTAACACCTCAATAAACAGAAGTAGAATAATAAAAGTATTATCATTGCTCAGGGAAGGAAAGGTAACCCACTCCATGTCTGCAGCTCGCCATGAACAGAAGAGAGGGCACAGAGATACTAGCAGTAGCACTGTACCTACAGATATCACTACAGGGGTTCAACAGTGAAACAAAGGCTAAACAGTGAAACAAGAACTGCAGGGTTCTATTGTGATAATCTCATGCTTCTGCTTATGGTCATGGGAGGAAAACCAGTCTACAGATCAGTGTAATCCTATTTGGATAAACATTTCCAGGGCCCTTCACTACTGTGGTACTTAGTAGGGATAAGAAAATATTCTTAGACATTTTTCTTACTTGGTGATACAAATTATTTAATCTCTGGGTCCAATCCATGCTACATGATACTTGAAATTCATTTTTGTTTGATTGTAGCCTAAGAGGATACAGTCAGTGATTACAAAGCACCTTTAAAAAAAAAAAAAAGCCTGGAGAAAACAGTATGTGTGTGTATGTATGTATGTATGTATGCATGTATGTATGTATGTATGTATCTCTATGTCTATGTTGGCTGCCTCAGTATGAAGGCCAAGGACCAAGCAGCCTTCCCACTCCAATAGCTGACCAGTGTAAAAGAGAGCTGAGACATTCTGGCTTGGAATGGTGACTAACTCACAATGCACCTGGTCTGTGAATAATATGATCTAACTTCCGAATGCTGCCAAATGCTTGGCAGCATTAAAACCAATTAAAATGAAAAATGTGTCATATTAGTATCTGAAAAATATCAAACAAACTTCTTTTCATTACTTCAAGTTTCACAGCGCATTAGTACAATTCAAGAGTACTTTCTAACCAGATTTGACTCCACTGAAACTTGCCCTACTGTCTCTTAGAGTACTTGGCCATTACTTGATGCCAATATCCCTCCTTTGTACACACCTCATCTGCAGTGCATGTGACCACAGACACACCAGACTTACAGAGAAAACATTGCTGTTGAGACCAAACTCCCTGGAATTTAAAGTTTTACAACAGGAAAATCTGGGATGATTTCTAGGCTAATGAGCAGTAAAACTTTAGAAGTCCAAAAGGGGTCAGTACTGGAAGTGCTGTGTCTGTGTCATAACCCACCTGTTCTTCCATCAGCCAAGTTCCATCTGATTTCAAAGCAACAAAAGGTTTTTTCTACAAGTATACAGGCTTTCAGCCATCAGATTTGCATTTAATAGATGACTTGGGAAGTTACACTGCAACCACTAATTTGACACACGGTCCTTTTACTTGTTCATCATCACTCCTATCATGACTTGCTTATTTAGGAAATATTCACATTGCCAGAGTTGTAACCAAGTGACAACACTTGGATATTCAATTTTCTTCTTACCTTCACTTCTTCACAGAATTAGAATTCCTAAACTTCTAAAATTTCAGAGTCTGGACTTTCACTGCTGAGCTTCACCATAAACCTATACAGATTTCATAACCCTGATATTCTTTGATAAAGAATGTGAAACCACCTCACTGATTCAATTATTCATGAGTTACAGTATTCCCATGGACTTGTATATCTTGATCCTGCTGAAAATGGGATAACTGCCTCTGAAGGAGGTTGTCATCAGCAGAATGCTGCCCTCCAGGTAGATTAGTTATCATCAGTTGAAGCCCAAGACTATCACTGCCTTCAGATCAAAAATAGCAACTCTTTAATCCCCTTTAAAAGTCAGTCCAAATTATATTAGTAGATACACTCACTTTGGTAGATACTTGCTATCCCGAATTACACATCTCACTCCAATAGGATAGCTGAGCCTTTCATGAGTGGCTCAGAATTTTCTGAGATGTGAAGTTGGTCAAATTCTTTATGTACACAAAATAACTTCAAAAATTGCCTTTCCATCAAACTTAAGCAGCATTCATCCTCTGTCCTGAGTGAAACTGTGGTTTGTGAAGAAGGTGTGGCCTTTCAGCTGATGAAGAGGCTCCAGTCTCACTCTCTCCTCTTTGTAACCAGTGATGTTCCCAGCTCTCTCTCTTCACTGACACCTCTGCAATCACTGAGCCACTTCAGGGAGCTGTTCTGGATTCAAACTAATTACTTTCATTTGCAGTAAGGAGTAAAGGGACTAGAAAAACTATAGCAGCCTGGATTTCAAATAGTTTATCCTTTAACCACACCTCTACTCTGCCACAGAACTAACAGTATATAAATCAACAAGAGCAGTTAAAATATTTCTTTGTACGCTCTTCCTCACAAGACTGACATCAAACATACAGATACAAATTCCCACACACTCTGGAACACATGTTCACACTGAAGTTAATTCCTTCACTGACAATTACGTGCACTTTCCATTATACTCTGCCAGATGTGGGCAGATTTAAGAATTCCTCTCTTAGAGTTTGCTGTATAAACATCAGCATCAACTCTCCAGGCAGCCTGCAGAGAGATTTTCTGCCAAGCCTGTATGTATTCAGATTTGTGTACTAACTTAAATAGCACAGATGAGGTCCAATTTGCAAATTGAGCTGCCAGGTCTTGGCAAGAGCTGTAGCAGTAGCTAATTTCTTTTAATTGAACAGGCCATATTAAGATATTGGAATGACTCCATCACAGTCTTAAGTCCAGGCTGTGTTTTGCAGAAGTGGCATTTAATCAAATATTAGTTGACTTTATTGCAAAGTCTGTTTTGGTTCGGTAAGCAAATTAAATAATTGCATGCCCTCCTGGTAAGACAATACCCTTGAGCTACAAGGCTGAGACAGAAAAGTTCAGACCTGATGTCCCCTCCCAGTTCTTACAGACTTACAATTAACATTCAGACAAACACAAGGAATAGCTTAGTTTGAGCTCTTCCCCGATCACATCTTCTGAAGAGCTGCTTGTCAAGGGGTAAGGGAACTGGTCTTAGTGTGAAGAAAACCCAAAGCTAATAAATTCTGCAGAAGGGAAGTGGACATGCTAGAACACTACCAGGTCATGCAAGGTATGGGCAGAGATGGCTTAACAAGGTGGCAAGAAGTCAAAGAAGTGGCAGTAGTACAGAAATCACAGCAATCCATCAAAAAACCCGAGATGTTCTGCAGGGGTTTCTGATCTGCCTCCGTAAGGAAACAAGCCTGCAGTAGCCTTCCATCCACTCTACTGGGATCCACAGCTCCAATGCAAAAAAGAAACAGTCTCCTTATATCAAAAGATGCTGCAAATCACAGTTATAGGCAAGAGTGACAAAGGGGCTATTCCTTTCCTCTGACTGCCAGTCAGTTCTGCTTGCCCCCATTAATCCTTACACCAAGGTTCCAGTCCCTTCTCCTACCCTTTTTACCCTGTGTGGATCCCTAGCTATGCACTTCTTTTAACTGCATTATCAATTGAATGTTTTTGAGCCCAGACCAGAAATGCTGTATTAACAATCTATTTTTAGTTCTGGGCTGATTTCTGTACTAGGCCGTACTTACTTCAGAAGTTTTTCAAAGGCATCCATGAAGTCTTCACTTGTCATCAAGACACAAAAAATACTTCTCCTGATATCAGTGTTCATTCTCATCTTACGAGCAAGCTCCATTATTTTTGAACTCACCTGAAAATAAAGTCATATGTTACTTTATTTATGTTTGCCCTCAAAGAAGTTATTTCTGTACTACCTTAAATAACACCATCAATGAAGCTCTCCAGTAAATCATGAATCACCAAATCAAAGGTCCTGAGCTTTTGTCCAGAGGCACAGGCATAATCAGGAGCTTTTTCAACTATGGAAATACATTTTAATCTACTTTAATTGTGCTGATTAATTTTAAGACCTGCTTCTTTAATATAAGTAAATCACCATGACCATCTCATCACATTACTTTTGGAATCAGCTTGGATATATGCCACAGACAGACACCAGAACCTGCAGAATTCCTACTAGCAAAGACACTGTTGAATCAAGTCTCATTTTTCACCTTAGTAATTCCACAGGATAAGGAAAAACAAGATGTACCATATTTGTAGTAACAGTTCTTATGAAGCACATGAGTACAATGTTTTAAAAAAAACCTGAAAACAGGATTTACAGTCCAAAAGCTTGGTCTTACAAGAGCATGTGAAGATGTTTTTGGTGGGCTCTGAAATAAATTTACTGACGTGTAAGAAAAATCTTCAAGAGATCACAAACACTTAGACTTATGATTTGGATTTACCTTTCCCACGTGCAGCTTTTGCTGAGCCTGGCTTTTTGTATCACTGATCATTGGTGCTCCACTCCAGGAGGACCCCACAATCCACCAGCGCCCAACCTGGTCAGCACTGAGGAGAGACTCCAGGGACACGCGGAGCTGAGTGTCTTTTCCTGAACCACTGCTGTGAACCTTGAGTAACAAAACAAAAATAAAAACCAACACAAAAGCTTTTATTTGAAACTTTTTTTTTCTTCTTCTTACAGAAAACAAATACTTAAATTACTTAAAATTATTTTTAAACAAAAAATTTTAAACATATAAGTTCATATTGCCGTAAAGATCTTCCCATGTTTCATCCCCAACCTTTGTTTCAATCAGCAGCTTGAACAGAATGTACAATTTTCCCATATGCTATAATTTTTTAAATGCATAAAGTTGCATAAATCATATAGGAGCTCTCAGGTTTTTTACTTGAAAAACGAGATACTTATCTAAAAAGTAGACATCTTCCAATTAAAAAGTTTGATTAGAATTCAGAGGATGCTGACATTGCAGCATCTTACAATCTGGTCATGATTTTCCTTTTGAACACTTGTGACTACGTAAAATGACACAACAAACCACTTTATGTGTTGTACAGTTCAAATAAGAAAAATTTTAAACTCTGAACAAAATAAGAATTTTCAATAACAAAGTCTAGAAGTGTATCAGCAGGACTGCAAAAATTTAAGAGAGGAAATTCTACAGAACTAAATTACCTAGCTTGTTTTTGCCTGGACTCTTATCCTGATATGCATTGATAAATTACTTTCACCCCTTTTATACTAGGTTGTTCTAGACAGATTACCCAATCTGTCAAAAAAAGCCCAAAACAATCCAACAAAAAACCCCCAAGAAAGCTGACATCCAATACAAATAATTACTCCTGGATTAAGACTAAAAGGCTACACCAGCCAAGAAAGTGCTCACCAGTGCTCTCTGCAATTTGCGGAGTCTTTCGACTGGTTCAGGATCGTAACCAGGAATCTTACGCATGTCATTGTTCCTAAGGGCCAGCATCGTCTCCAGCATAAATCGGACCTATTGGGAAAAGAAGTAGTTCTGTGGATTCTAATTCTTAAGAATATTTAATATTCTTTTGTTAAATAAAGTAGAAGAGTGTACTTTGAAATTAACATTCTGTGAGAATAAGCAGCTCATCTGGCAATATACACCAAAATTTAAATACAACATGTTTTCCTTAACCCCTATTACATTAATTTGTGTACAAGTTTAATCTGCTCAACACCATGCCTCAGTGACCATTTTTTGAAGTGTGCAAAGTATCATGAAACAGAAAAACTGTCCACTGCATAAGACACAAACCAGCCTTGTCTCACCCATCAGGAGCATTTTGATGTCTGTGTCCTAAGAACTAATGTAGAAAGACAGACAAGAAGAATGCAAATAACTGAATGCCACACTAATGGTAATTTAGAACCTGAATAGAATGTAGCAGAAAACGTTTCTGTAAATTAAACTATGTATCCAAGTACTTATTACAGACTCTTGAGAATATAAAATCTTTAGAACAAACACATACCCTAGTCTGATCCTGGAATTTCTTCTCTGCTGTGCTTGCTTTCCTCTGGGCTTCAGTGATCAGTTCTTTCAAAGCCAATGCATCATCTTTTCTTAAGGAAAAGCCCACATTTTTCAGAAGAAATAAAATCAGCTCAATCTCTTTTTCAGTGAAAGTGCTAACAAGCTTTTTCAGAATATCAAAGATCAGCAGGCAATGAACCACATGGAAGTTATACAGATGAGCAATCAAGGCAAGCAGATTTTCACATTCTTTCCCTTCAGCATCACTTTTACAGAGTTCATCAAATTTCTTCACCACAGCTTCCAAAAAGTGAGCACCGACCTGGCAACAATTCCATTAAGGGGAAAAAAAAAAACCCAGCAGTTAACTGTAAGTAGGTTTTACAGACATCTGTAAAATTCATTTTTAGGTCACTGCCACTATCAATTTTAAAGAAATATTGTTGCTACTCTCAACCAAAATGGATGTTCTATATTTACATATACAAATATCTAAATTTATCGATGTTTTTGCAGAAGTCTGTTATTTACTCCTCATATTTGACATCCAGTTGCCTTTTAAAGCCTGTGCAAGAAAAACAAGTATTATGAACCTACAGTACCCATACATCAGCATTTATTTACATAATATTCATAGACACATATTAGCATCTTTCCGGCTGTCAGGCTAGCATGCTGTTACTGCTGGTCATTCATCCAGGAAAAGCTATATGACAAAAAGCAAACACATTCCTGAGTTCAGCATTCCAGAAAAAATCCTTAACAGAAGGATAAAAAATAATATTGGGAAAAAATCCCCAAAATACCAAGTTTTCACAGTTGCTGAGCATAAGGTGAAGCTGCTTTTGAAGTGGGGATAATTCTTAGACATTTGTCAGTGGTCCAGCTGGGAAAATAAATTTTGGAATTTATTTATTTCTAAAGAGAGAACTGATGCTAAAGGCTGGGATTAGAAAGCCTACAGGCTCTGAAACACAGGGAGTTAATGAATACATTAGTGCTAAATAAGACCCTCACCCATTATTACTGAGCTAAAAATCTGTTGACCTTAAGAAAACCAGAAGTCCCAGCAGCAGTACTGACTTGCATTACAAGCCTTGACCAGCTTAGGTGTTAACTATCCAATGACTGCACATTTATAATTTATAAATAATTTATTTAATATAATTTATAAATACAGGCCAACCTTTGCAGTGCTTAACCTAATCCTCAGTGCAGCTGCACTATCACACTTTCATGTAATGCATACTGTACATTTATTTTAAAGAAACATTATATCTGCATTCAGAAGTGCCTTTCATAGAGCACAGAAAGACAAAAAAGAGGTTTAATGACAAGTCTACATGGAGGAAGTTGAGTAATTACATCTACCTGATATTTAATATGGTTTCAGAGCCAGCATTCAGGCCACTGTATGACAAACAGAAAAACTTGCATCAATACATCTTTTGCATTGAGATGTAGAGGGGAAGAAAAAAGAGTAATTTAATAGGAACATATTGCTGAAAGTTTCCTGACAGACATGTAACTGAAATTTGCTAAAATCTTCCCTTTGACATCAGGAGCTTCAGTGTCAGCTTGGGTGAGAGGGATTTTACTTCATTCATTAGGCTTAAAAACACAGACCAAAATCCCCTCCAAAAATAGCCATGCTTTTTAAGTTTTTAATATTCCATATTATAACTACTTAATTCCACTGATGATTTGCATAGAAAAGAAGGCTATCCACCATTGTAAAAGGATTCCTGTAGATGTAACACTTTTCTTATCTGGATATACACAGTTCAAAAACAAAACCCACATGTATCCATGACAACAGAAATGGATTAGTGTAACTAAAAAGAAGAGAAGCTGAAAGTTAGAAATTTTTGATTACTGGGTGGAGAAAGATTTTGATGAAAAAAATGATGGTGACCAGTGGTAACTCATGGAGGAAATAAAATCAGATAAAGCAATGGACTTAGACCTTTTCACTTATGAAAGCCTTACAAATAAGCCACAAAATACTGATGAAACTCAACTAAAGATGCTTGTTAGTGCTACAAAGTTAAAAGTGACAAGGCAATTCAAACAAAATGTCAAGGAAAACACTCTATAATATGTATTATTATACCAAATTTGTACCAAGCACAAGAATTACCTCAATTCCTACATTGTGATGAAGGATGCTGACCAGAAGCACATGCTCCATCATGAGTCTTGCAGGCATGGCAACGGCAGTAACACAGGCATTCATGAGAATGTCTGTCAGAGTGTCATTCATATCCTTTCTGCTGTTGGCCATGTAGAGCTCTTCCATCTGTCCACTGATGGAGGACAAATTTGGTTCACTCAGCCTATGAAGAAACAAAATCCAATGTTCACTCTTTCTTCTCCTCACATGGCTCCACAATTTTGAGTTCACCTAACAAACTAAAAATTCTTTTTAGAGAAACTACTTTGACTTAAGAAGAAAAGATTGAAGATTGATAAGATGACTGAAAGGGACCTTTTGTATTTTTCTGTGTTTACTAAACTAAAAAAGTATAGTACATTCAATTCTAGTATAGTTTTAAAAAAAATTACATGTAAAAACATGTTAGCAACAGTATTTACAAAACACTGTCAATCTGCTTACTGTCACACTGAATAGATTTATTACAAAAAGAGACTTGTTTTTAGCAGTTTTAACCGTGGCACATCAGGATATTAGAAGAAATTAAGTAGGAAAATAATTTATACATCAACATATATGGTATATTAAATTTAAAATCAATGAACAAACTCTAGTCTATGTTTTACAGGTAACAGATGAAAACTGGTAATAGTCTTTTGGTTTAAAAAATACTCTAAAAACTGAAATGAATGTTAATTACTTTTTTCTATTCTGCAGTATTTTAACCTAGGAAGGGCTGCTTCTCTTCACAAAAAACCTAAAACAAACCAAAACCTGTTTTCTTCTGAGAATTTTTTAAAATAAGCATACTCCAACTGACACTGAGTGAATTATATCTAGCACTAGCAGGGAACTGCTATGTGGAATCCAGCCCAATCTTAATTTATTTTCTAGATTTTTCAACATGTATAATGACTAACTTTGAAGAATTTATACTGATAAAGATAATTATTCTTAACAATAGCAGACATGATTGCCAACTTAAAATCAGTTTGTGAAGACAAAAGTCATATCCTTGCCACCTGGCTTGAATGATGTGCACTGTCACATTGATCCACAAAGATTAATGACTTTCTTTATTACACTACCTATTAATGAGACCATTCACCATTTTCTTCAGTCTTCCCAGTTCTTCTCTTTTCTTGTCATCTAGTGTCTCCTGTGCTTTCCTTATTTGAGGAGGAACATACTTTGTAGCATCGTGATTATCACTCTTGGGAGGAAAACAAGAAAACAAGGTATCAGATGAGACCAGAATCTTGAACGCAAATACACATTTCTATTTAAGATTAAAGTACCAAACTTTTAGTTAAGGATATATCTCACCATCTAATAATCAACGCCAAATGAAAAATATGAAGAAAAGAAGCAGGAAAAAAATTCCAATTTATGACAAACTTGACAACAGCCAAGTCTCTCTTCCCTAACTTTAAGTTATGGTCATTAAAACCTGACACCTTAAGTCTTGGTTTTACTCAAGTTTTATCAGCGACAGTTTAAGTTTAGGCCCATGAGGGCTAAATGACCTGTGTGACCTCTCCTCCACCCATTCAACAAGACCTAATATTCTAAGATCGTTCAGAAAGTAACATTTCAGTATGTAACCGCTGTTCAATTCAATACAAACTCTCTTTGCAGAAGGGCTTGATCATATCCTTACACTCTAATGCCAGGGCAGCTCCTTTTATATGCAGATTTCACACACTGCTCCCACGTGCCTTGTGCTGTAGGGTATTACCTGCCACCAGCCTGAACTGGGAACTCTCCCCTCCACGTCTAACAAGTGTCCCCAGGACCTGGCAGACCCCTCAAGTCAATACTGTCGCTGGGCCCGGCTGTTCGGAACCAGGACAACACTCCAGGTGGCCCGGCTGACAGCAAACACCTGGGCGTAACAGCGGCGATGCAACTCTGCTCTGTGTTCAGGTTGCAGGATGTGCTTTGGGGAAGCAGATCTGTGCTATCTGAGGCGAACATCCTACCTCTGCCTCCTCCTCCTCCTCGCTCGAGGGCTCGCTGGCCTCTGGCACCTCGTCGTCCTCGGGGGACGAGCTCTCGCTGTCCCAATGTCCTTCCACGTCATCCGCCTCGGAGGGGTGTGAGGCATCTTCCTGAGCCTCCTCATCCTCACCATCCTCCTCGTCCTCACCATCCTCCTCGTCTTCAGCATCTTCCTCGTCCTCAGCAACCTCCTCCTTCCCCGGCGGGCGCTCCCGCGGTCCCGGCTCCTGCTGCTCCTCCTCGTCGCTGCTCTCGCACAGCTGGCTGAGGCCGGCCCGTGTGCCCAGCGCTCCCAGCACGTATCCCAGCCCGTCCCGCAGGAAGCTCTGCGGCAGCCGCTCGCCCGCGGGCCCCTCCT